TGGTATCCGAATTACCAGGGCTCTTGGTCATGTTGTTACTGCGAGCTAGCCAGCTGTCCTCTCCCGCGCAAAAGCGGGTCATGAGTGTTGTGAGGGATGCCATAGATTTCGGCTTTTCCTATCCTAGGTGCCGGGCAAGCCACTCGTCGCGGATGTTATGTTTGAAGGCTGCAAGGTCCTCTGCATCCGGACAGTCGACGATTTGATTTTTCTTGGTTAGGAACCGTGTCCAGAATTATCTGGCCGATTCTTCTGACTGCTGAATTATGTGGCTTAGGTCATCGGCGTCTGGCGGTCGCACATAAGTGCCCTGGAAATTGTCGAGGAATGCGGCTTCCAGGTCTTCCCAACAACCGATTGACTCTGTTGGCAAGCTGTTAAGCCAATGCCAAGCTGGTCCTTTAAGCTTGAGTGGGAGGTATTTGATGGCATGTAGATCATCACCACGGGCCATGTGGATATGAAGGAGATAGTCCTCGATCCAGACCGCAGGATCTGTTGTGCCGTCGTATGATTCAATGTTCACGGGTTTGAAACCCTCAGGGATTTGATGATCCATCACTTCGTCTGTGAAGCATAATGGGTGTGCGGCGCCTCTGTATTGGGCTATATCACGACGCAGCTCAAATGAGCTTTGTCTATTGTGTTCGGCCCGGCCGGACTTGCCATATCCGGCGTGATGGTTATCATCACGTATCGTGGGGCGCCCACGCGATCCGTGGATCGATCTTGTTTGCCTTGCCTTGTCCTCCAATATATCCCGCAGGTCTGGCGCATTTTCCCGCGCCTTGGTATTTTTTGAGCGGCGCCGTGGTGCGGCTTGAGTGGAGGGCCGAGAGGCCTCTCTGTCGCGGCCACGAGGTGGCCGTTCGGCCGTATTACGCGCTGGTGATGTAGGCTTAGGTGCTTCCTCCTCTAATCGGGGTAGCAGCCTGCGTTTTGGGTAGCTCTTGGAGGGGCATTCGAGTTCGTACTCTCCGGCCGCCAGGACTTCAGTCCATCTGTCGGCTAGCAAATCTTGGTCAGCTCTAAGCTGCGCTGCTTTTTCTTGAGGCTGCTTGCCGTGGCCATAAGCCTGCGTTTGAAACGCTCTTGCTCGACGGGATCCTCAGGCACGACAAATTCGTTGTCGTCAAGGCTTGTCTCGTCTTCGGAGGGAGGCATGTAATTATCGTCCTTTACCTCTCTATCTGCCGCTCTCTCATGAGGGCTGGCTTCTCCATCCTCCTGCACTGAATCCTGCTGAAGGGGGTTGTCTTCGGCACTGCCCGGGGTGTTATTGTCTCCCGTGCCGGAATCACCATTTTTGTTGTGGCGGGATTTAGAGCGGCGCCGCTGACGCTGGCGCTTAGGCTGTTTCTTGAGGGGTCATCCTCCGTTGTTCCATCGCCATTCCCATCTTTTGGGATGTCCACCATGTAAATGTCGTATGACGAGGTGGCCTTCCAGCACCCTGTAGGCGTTGGTTCTTGGTCGTCTCCTGCATCGTCGTTCATACCGTCGATGTCTTCGGAGTCGAAGTCGAGCATGTCGGTTAAACCATCGACAGTGGCTACGAAGTGGGTGGTGGGTTGGCTTTGAATTTCTTCGTCGTCCGCATCCCAACCTTCCTGACCATAGTCCGGCCAGGGCTCTCCTGATAAAGAGAGAGATTTTAGTGAATTCAAGATGTCGCCAAAGGGCGAGTGCCGAAAAATGTCCGCGGCGGTGAACTCCATGATCGGCGCCCAATCGGCGATTGGCAGGGGCACGGAAGGTTTGGAGTCCGGAGAGGAGTCCGGCGCCTTGGAGTCACGAGCTTCGCAAAGGACAGGGTTGGTGTTCGGCTCAATCGCCGTAGAGATAGCAGCCCCCGAGGCGGTGTCCAGCCACCCGTCCTCGATCGACGCAGTCGGCTCTGAGCTAAGGGTCGGAGCGGACACTTGTGCGGCCTCCAGGGCACTGTCCGGCGGCAGAGCTAGATCATGCCCATCGTGACAGTGCGGCGCGCTTGGCTGCGGCTCGAACCCGTCGAAGATCAAGTCTCCGCGGACGTCAGCCGTATAGTTCAAACTTCCAAATCTGACCTGATGGCCAGGGGCGTAGCTTTCGATCTGCTCCAGATGGCCAAGCGAATTGGCCCGCAGTGCAAAGCCGCCAAATACAAAGATCTGTCCGGGAAGAAAAGTCTCACCCTGGACGGCATCGTTGTTGATGATCGGAGGAGCCATCGGACCTAAAGATGACGACATAGAGGAACTCTCAATGAAAGCACCAATGTCGGTGTCAAAACCGGCGGATCTCGGGTAGGGGGTCCCGAACTGTGCGTCTAGGCGGATGGTAACAGGAGACAAGGGACACGATGTTTTTACCCAGGTTCGGGCCCTCTAGATGGAGGTAAAACCCTACTCCTACTTGATTAATATTGATGATATGAATAGTACAAGAGTAGATCTACCACGAGATCAGAGAGGCTAAACCTTAGAAGCTAGCCTATGGTATGATTGTTGTTCTATCCTACGGACTAAAACCCTCCGGTTTATATAGGCATCGAAGAGGGTTAGGGTTACACAGAGTCGGTTACAATGGTAGGAGATCTACATATCCGTATCGCCAAGCTTGCCTTCCACGCCAAGGAAAGTCCCATCCGGACACGGGACGAAGTCTTCAATCTTGTATCTTCATAGTCCAGGAGTCCGGCCAAAGGCTATAGTCCGGCCATCCAGACACCCCTAATCCAGGACTCCCTCAGTGACCATTTTACAGATAAAGCATCTCTAGGGCTTGGTGCATTTGTCCAGATGATGTCCTGGCTCCCCACAATTGTAGCAAATCACATCAGAGTAAGCCATAAGACCTGACGCAGGGGCAGGGACAAACTTCTGGGAGTCCTACTTCTTTTTTTGCTAGTTCTTGTTCTGAGATCTGCCACTAACTTGAGATTCAGATCCCCCGGCAGATTGCTCCTGGATGGCAGTAGGAACCTGACCAGATTTTTGCCCCATCTAGGGAGGAGGTGGCCCGTACCACTGTGCAACCTGGCTCCCCCCCATTGTTGCTGATGAAATTGGGGTGGGAATTGGCCAGGAAAACCCCACGGAGGGAGGCCACCTTGAAATCCATAGCCGAAGTATGGCGGTGGCCCGCCCATCTGAGGTTGCGGGGGAGGCTATTGCCTCCAGCTGTTGCCGATCTCCCCTCTTCCTCCTTTGTGCTTGCCGCGGCCACGCTCCCGCCCACTTTCCGCCATGGTTGGAAGCTCTTGGGTGGCGGTGGCGGTGGGAGGAGGGAGGGTAGAGGAGTCCTTAGGGTTTCCAGAGGGTGAGGTACTTAGAGGGGCCCAGAGCTGGCTATAGAATTCCTCTGTCAAGTCACCATGGCAGCAAGGCAGCGAGGTTGCTTCGGTGGCTGCTCTGTCAGCACCTTTTCCCAACCTTTTCTCAGCCCTCCGCGCTTTCTGAAGGAATTTGAATCCTCCCCCTGCTGCAGCACCAACAGAGTAGGGTTGGAGGCAGAATCAACAACCTCGACAGGATCAGTTATGCTTCTCGCCATGAATTCGGACACAGGACAGGGGAATCTGCAGATAGAGCTCGCTGGGCGATCACCTGGATCAAGCGGCATCGAAAGACCTGGGGGAAGAACTTGGGCTTGCATCCCGCCAGGCTCAACAGAACTGAAGAATGCCCGAGGTGCACAGCCAGAAACATGATGATAAGCAGATTTCCTCGCTGAATTGGGCATCTCCTCATTGAGCATCCAAATATTATCTGCCAGGAAGCAGAAGTAACCACCCGAGAGCTCGGCTAACGCGGATTGCTGAACATGAGTCAATCTTCTGCAGGCTTGGGTGACAGATAAGGCAGAGGATCCACCTGCTCCGGTTCCGGTGGCACGCTGGTGGGCATGAGGCCAGTCAAGCATTCCCATCTCGCGGCGCGGCGGGGATTACCCGATTTCGCTTCTCCTTTTGCCCAATGGACAAACACAATCAGTGGCTCCAAAGGGTGTGGCATTATGCGTTTCTCCGAGAAGTCGCCCTCGAAGTAGATTCACAAAGCTAGATTCAGCAATTCCTGATCCACACGAGCCTTGCACATCTGAGCATACCTGTGGGACTGTGGATCTAAATCCAGGTCCGCTTCCCTCCACTCACGGGAGCACAGGGACCAGGAGAGGGCGTCGTCATGGATCCGCATCGCCCTCTCCCTCCACCGCCTCCCCCGCGTCTCCCTCTGAATGGCCGGCGAGATGGAGCTGAGCGGCCGCAGCATCCGCGGGAATGCTTGGTAGACATGCGGGAGAGGCATTTTGAACCTCTGCTTGTCTTTCATCCACTCTCCAGTAGATCTCGGAGGAGGCTCCATGGGGAGCCCGCGAGATCTCGGAGAGAGGGGAAGAGGGTGCGCCCGTCGCTAGGATGCGGCTTGTGTGGGGGGCGATAGCGGCAGCGGGATCTACGGTGGCGGCGGTGGAGGTGGGGGCGGGCGCGAGGGGAATCGCAGGGGCGGTCATGCACGAGCAGTTATCTAAAAAAAAACCTGTAATTTATTTTCTGGTGGGTGTTATTTAGTTTTGTTCTTAGGCAGCTGTACTCTGCTGATCTTCCGTGTGTGTGTGGCTTGTATTCCGGTTTATTAACAAAGAAGCACGGTGAACATCTCAAGAAGAGAACATTGCAAAATAACAGAGGATCAAAAGGAGGACCCTCGTCAACATCGCACGCAGTAAGATGAGAACAGTCAATCGTCAAAGCATCTCAGAATCTACCAGGTTGCTAGGAGGCAGAGCATCAGCAAATATTTACTTGATAGATAAAAACAGGCCGTTGGCTCAGAAAATTAACACAGGCAACTTCCGAATTTATATTTAGCGAACCATGAGAACATTCTTAATAACACACAATACACGTCACCTAATGACCACACAATGGCACGAAACCGTACGGACACAAATACAAAGATACACCAATACAAGTACGCATGTACACACGTGAGGTGGAACATACCGAAGACGAGTCACTAGTATACGAGGGGCTTCTTTGCACGGAGGTCGCGGAAGTACGTCCGGGGATCATCCTCGAACGCGTAGCGCGGCATGCGCGCGCCGTGGCGGCCGGGAGCTACCATCGTTCGCCCGCCGCGGCGGCGGCCGCAGCAGCAGCGGCAGCAGCACCGGGCGAGCCAGAACAGCACAAGGGCGCCGAGCGCGGCCGGGAGCACAACGGTGACGCCGATGCGCACCCACTGCGCGAGCGTCTCCGAGCGGGTCTCCGGCGGGAAGAGCTCGTCGGCCTTCTTGGCGAGCGCGGCGAGGAGGCCGGCGAGGAAGGCCGCGAGCTCGGTGGCCTTCTGCTTGATGAGCTGCCACAGGGGGGCGAGAAAGCGCCCGGCACCGTCGAGGTCGAAGCCGAGGCCGGCGTCGCGCAGGGACCGCGTCATGGCTCCGCCGCTCCGTAGCAGGAGCTTCCTCGCTGCAGGTGCCTCCGGGACGAAAGCCATGGATTCGCTTCTTTCTTCGCTGAGGGACGTCTACCGGGCTGGTCTTTGGTGTGAGTGTAGCGGGACTGACGGAGTGAGGTGCGGGGTCCGATATAAAGATGGAAGCGATTGATGGAAACGGAAGCGTTTGGCGTTTCGCCGAACGAATAACCAGTCCACTTCACCCGGTTAATAAGCTGCATACATGTTCAGCGCTTTGAAGAGACAATACAACACTGGCTGCACAGTGAACACGAGCTCCCGAGCTCATGAGTCACGTGACTCGATGTACTAGCCTGCAAGGTACTCGATGTACTAGCCTAGAGTGTGTCCATCAGAATATATGGGTCTTGTGTTGGACCTGAAACCATTTGATAGAGATGATGACCAGTCTTTGCTCTGGTAATTTTCCATGAACAGCGAGCTCAAATGCTTTTCTCCCACGGACTCCCCTAATCGAACGCCACCATTTTGAGAATTTTTTGTAAGGAACCTATGAACTGGATATGTTTTCATAAAAGTAAGCATAGTATTCCGTAAAGAAAAATAATGTTACCCCACTTCCAACTTGAAAAGAAAAGGACCACGATATCGGTCGATCGTTCGGCCTGGACAGGTGCCAGACCAAGAGGTTCGGTACGATACAATCCCACGAACGATTTTAGTTCGGGAGGAGAAGCCTCCAGGTGCGAATACCTCCCCAGCTCCTAACAACCCAAAAAGTGAATCAGAAAAGCCAAATAACAAAAGATAGAAGAAAAAGGCCAAGATTTTGCTTCTTTTTTTGCTGTGAGAAAAAAAACCCAGATTTTTTGCTTTGTTAATTTAAAAAATGCCATCAGCTTTCAAACACAGCAAAAATTGCCATGGGTGGACAGGAATACATTTTAAAAATAACCCAAATGAAGAAAACATCATGGAAATTTCTAGCATACAAACAAAATAATTTGCAATGTCAAATTCGTAGCATAAATGTCTTGGTATTTTTACTTAAATTTACATATAATGTATGTGAAAATATCTGTGTGTGAAAAAACACAGAAAGTTGAAAAAAGAAGAAAAATGAACAAGTGAAATGCCATAACCAAAATCATATTAAAATTTGCATATATTTGACATGGCAAAAAAAGTAAAATCTGCCATGTTAATAAAGGTCAAATAAATAGTAAAACTTGCCATGGCAATAAAAGTTAAAAATTGCCATGGGGATTTAGGTAAATTTCCCCAAGTTAATAAAGGTAAATTTTCCATGGCAAATAAAATGTAAAACTTGCCATGGCAAAAACGCTAAATATTGCCATGGGCATTTAGGTAAATTTGTCATGTTAATAAGGGTTAATCTGCCATCGGCAAATAAAAAGTAAAACTTGCCATGGCAATAAAAGCTATATATTGCCATGGGGATTTAGGTAAATTCGCCATGTTAATGAACGTATATTAGCCATGGCAAATAAAAGTAAATATTGCCATGGCAATAAAAGTTAAATATTGCCATGGGAATTTAGGTAAATTCATCATGTTAATGGAGGTATATTAGCCATAGCAAATAAATAGTAAAACTTTCCATGGCAGTAAAAGTGACAACTTGCCATGGGGGTTTAGGTAAACTTACCATGTTAATAAACGTAAATTTGACATGGCGAATAAATAGTAAAACTTGTCATGGCAATAAAAGTGATAACTTACCATGGGTATTTACGTAAATTCGCCAATTCAATAAATGCCAAATAAGACAGTAGAGCGTGCCATGGCAATATTTGCCATTTTGTGTCTTTTTGACAATTTCGAGAATTACCATGGCAAAATGCAATGGTTTAGAAGGCAAATTTAGAACCGTTGATAGCTATATAGTGGCAATTATATGAAAAGCAACATGGCAAAGTGTACTGAAAATATTTTTGCCATGCAAGTGCGAAACATATCATAATTTGCACGCATCGAAACTTCCTAATTTGCCATCTGTTTTACAAGTTCCGTGCTCCGTTTGAGTGAAAATTGAGTTGTCTAGCTGCATAGTGAGCAAGTGCACCATTCATCCATCAGTTAACAAAAAAATTATATTCCTAATTCATATCAGCAATGAGATTAGACTTGAGAAAATAGCAAATGAAGCAAAAAAAAGGACACGAGGTTAGCCGCTTCACAGCCTCACATTGCAGTGCAGCAAAAACTTGCCATGGAGATTTGGGACTTCTCATCATCCTATGGCTGGGACGAGAGGGAGGAGGCCTCGCAGCGCCACCCAGGGAGCCTGTTGGTGGTGAGCCTCCGCCTCTCCCCTGCACGTCGTCCATCCCCTATGAGCGTGCTGCTGCTCGCCGCACTCCCCGACGAGCGCGCAGGTGCTGACACCGAGCTCGCCGGCGAGCCTCTGCCTTTCTCCCGCCTTCGGCCTGATTTTGGCCATATCCGGCCCGTGCATCACCGGTGGAACTTCTCCGCAACGCTGCTCCTCCCCGCCTCATCTCCATCGCGCCACGACTGTCTCGAGTGTTGACGTATAATGTGCCGCCTAGTCTTTGCCATCAGATCGGTCTTTTAGTTGTATTGGCTAGAGCATGCACTTCTACATGGTATCGAAACCACACGTGAGGGGAGTGTTGACGTATAATGTGCTACCTAGTCTCTTTCATCAGATCATCTTTTGGTTGCGTTGGTTAGAGCATGCACTTCTACAGCGAGGACAGATCAGCCCGCCACATCCCGATGCTGGGTCCCGTAGGAGCTCCTATCCGTCGTCGTCCGCCTCCGACTTGTGGACGTACTTGCAGATCAGGGAGGGAAAACAGACGGATCCAAAAGACAGCTTGCCGGAGGCTACATTCCCGGCGATGGACGGCGGCGGCGTCATTCTGTACTTGATGAAGAAGAGATAGTAGAGCGAGCAGCGAGAGAAGAATAGGAGCGGCACAGGGCGGCTTGGAGGAACCTGGCGGCGCTCGTCGCCGGTCGCTGGTGGCACGGGAGAGGCGATAGCTTGGGATGGAGCTCATGCTCGCCCACAAGATGGGTTATAGAGTAGTAATTCTACACCTACGAAACGTTCTACTTAGGCTTACTTAACCTTCCAGAAAATTCTCTCCTCCCCACTGATTTTAATTGGGATGGACCCCAACTGCTAATCCTGGCCCAATTAACAAACACCACATCAACTTTTACATAACATCTGAACGTAACATTTTTCTTTGCGAAGGAATCTGAACATAACATTACGTATATGTAGCATTGCTCGTGATAGAGTGGGGAATGGATGAGGCGTCGTGGGGTCGTGGACCGAAAAAAAGCTTTCGGGAGACTTTCCCTCGATGCGAACGAGGGCGTTGGGATGTTGTGGTGAGGTTGCGTGCACCAATATACCTGCGTCCCCAACGGGTTGCACGGTCGCTCCTCGGTCGCTCCCGCGGGCGGCCAGGAGCGAAACCTAGCCGCCGCCGCAAGCCACAACCACCGCGCCCCCGCCCTTCGCCGCCGCCGGCAGGAGTCGTCGGGCAAAGCCCGCGGCTCGGCGGCGGCGGGGCCCTTTTTCCCCTTTCCGCTGGAGATGGTACGGCGCGGGCCGGCCGCTCCTGGAGGGAGCTCGGGCACGTTGGCGCTCGGGATGGCGTTGGCTGGCGCTGGAAGGCTGGGGCAGCGGCCCCAGGTCGCGCGCGGGGTTGGCGTGCGCCTCCCTCGCGGAGGTGGTCCGGCGGCTGCCTGCGAGGCGAAGGATCCGGGGCCCTCGCGCCTGGATCTGGTGAGGAGGCGGGCCGTCGGCAGCGGCGTCGCGGCGGCATGAGGTCAAGGCAGCGGTGATGCTGGCCTGCGAGCAGGGTGGAGGCGCGGGCTGGGCGCGGCGGGGCGCGAGGAGGCGTGTGGCTGGGCGCGGAGTGCGGCCATGGGTGCGGCGTGTTGGTCGCCGGTGCAGATCTGGCGGGCGGCGGCCGGTGGTCTTCGCTCGGCGGCCCTGCGGGCATGCCTGGACGCCACGGATCCGGCCTTGGCAGCGCAAGATGGGTAGTTTTCTCTGCCCCGTTCTGCTGCTTTGGAGTACAGGGGGCCGGAAGGAGACGGCTGCTGGTCGGAGGTCCGTGGCTGGCGGCCCGGGAAGGGCACTGCCGGCTGGTGGTGGTGCCCGGTTGCCGCTTGTTGGAGCTGGGTGGCTCTGCCGCGGTTGGATGCGGGGTGCAGGGCCCGATCTGGTCTCTGCAGGCCCGTCGTCGAGGAGGTTTGCGGGTGGCCCTACACAGCAGTGGCGTGCTCGTTGTGTTGGGGGTGCGCGGTCCAATGGAGGTACGGGTCGACCTCGGCCTACTGTGTGGGAGTGGCTGCACCGGGTGAAAGCCTGGCCGGTGCTGACCGGCCGGCGACGACGGCGCCTGTGGGCGTCGCTATCCTCCTTGGAGGCGTCGTCGGGAATCTTCACAGCCTCTACTCCTGGATCAAGTCCTTCGGGTGAAAGCCCAGATCCTGCTACAGGGTCGGGCGGTGTCGTCGTCTTCAACGCAGTTCCCCTCTTTAGGGTGCCGTCTTGAAGAATTTGATCCCTTTGGTGCTTCCTATGACTGGACGTGCACGGTGGCTTCTGTGGCAACGACGACGGTGGTGAGCAACGTCGGAGGCGCGGCTTTGGTCGTGGTAATCGGCTCTTCTTCTCCGGCGTGTCCATGGGAATGCCTCGACTTCCCGTTGCTGTGAAGTCGAAGCTGCGGTGGGGGGCCGCTGGTATACGATGACGCGTGTCAGGTGGCTCGTTCGGTGATCCCTTGTGACGCCAACCTTGCCTCGTTTCTTTGTGGTTCATCTTCAGAGTCGGAGCTGCGTTGTCTAATGTGGATTGTATGGAGTGTTTTGTTGCAGCCATTAGGGTTGATGTTTTTCTTTTTCTTTTGATCTTTGGATCTCCTAGTCCTAGGACCTTCATCACCTTGTTGTTTTCGTTGCTTTCTGCTATTATCAATGAATGCCAGCGATGCTGGATCTTTCAAAAAAAATATACCTGCGTCCGATCCAACGATAACAACGAGTTCGGGGTGAGATGCAAA